AGCCCTGCACCTTCTCTATCGCCGTAGGCGTCGCCGTCCGGTGACCCTATTAGGCCGAAGATGACCATTACCATCAAGAATAGAGCTGTGGAGAGGAAGAGAGGCCAGAAGTAGGAGAGGATGGTCACAAACCGAGGTGCCAAAAGAACCAAAAATGCTAAGACAAGCGAAAGAATGATTGTTATGGCAAAGTGATACTTGTACTGCAAAAGCTTTTCTGAGATTTCCATGGCTTCTCTGAGAATTACAAACTCCCCAGATAGGCTTATAAAGGACTTTTTTTCTCCCTCATAGAGACGTTCATGATCACTTCTCTTTGCAGAGATTCTTTGTTTAAAATGTTCACCTTTCTTTGAAGCACCTTGTTTCCCAAACTATCCTCCTATCACTTATGCTCTTTATTGCTACAATTACTTAAACATCCTCCTCTAAAAGTAGAATGACAGATTGCCCTTAATTATTTTATTTTATTTTATATATTTCCAAAAGTTCAAATTAACAAAGTATACTTACAATATTCCTTCTAGCATCAACATTCTCTTTTTGAAGAGACCAGCATACTTGGTTTGCCCTTAATTTAAAAGACAACATTTCTCACCATTCTAGTTCATTGATTGGGAGGTATGGGTAGGGCACATTCTATTTCCTTAATTTTATTCTCACTTTAGTGTTTTATTTATTTTTTTTTTTTTGAATTCAATTTGTATGAAGTCTTTACTATTAAGTGGTAAAAGTTCAGACTTCAAGTCTGAAAAATGTGTCCTCTCTTGATCTTTTAAATAGCGTGGCAAAGACATCCATGTCCATAGGCAAGGAAATTAAATTTGAATAACAATTTTGATTGTTTGACTTTGATAAAACTCAGATTTTCTTCTATTTGTAAGAGATTCAATGTCCATCGGGTGCATTAAAACGGCATAGTTTTGAACTTTTGATGTGCTGGAAGGTGCACAGGATAGGAGGGGATCCAATCTCGATTATGATGTGCTCCTTTCTTTTCTAGTAACTTTTGGTAATGTTTCCTTGCATTGATTTGTGCAGCACTAGGTAACAACCTTTTAAAAATGGCACAAATAAGCTGCATGCCCAAGTTAAACACCAAGGCTAACAAGGTAAATTTGCTTTGACAAAAAAATTATGGGCATGTTCAGTATATGTGCTTTGCCCCTTCCTTTGGTTGGTTAGTTGCTTTGTCCCTTTTAAGGTGCCTCTTTTTCAATGGCAATTGAAGATTAGGATTAAGGAAAGGCATAGCTTTCATTTTCCCTTTTGTAGTTATGGATCCGTGGAAGAAATTAGGCAATCAAAGAAGAAAAGAAAGTCCTCTTGGCTGAGTTCATTTCTCTTAATATTTTGTGGTTTTCACTTATTATAAAAGACAAGGTCATAGAAACTACATTACTCATTGTCACTCTCACTTGGACTTTCTATGCCTAAAGTTTGTCTGCCATTAACAAAATTATTGAGCTCTTATCAAACATTAATTAGAGGCCTAGTCATAGCATTTCACTTTCGGTAGCAGTTGAAGTGAGTTCATTCACCTACAACATTGAATAAGAGCATATCTTAGATACATTTTCTGACAAACATTATGATTTGGGGTTAAATATTATTTCACATGATAGTTTTCACTCATATTAGGTAGAAATTGAAATTGGATCACCTTATCTTCATGTATGTTTTGAAAAATCATAATACTAATCGATGTCAATACTTACGAAAGATATTTCTTCCTATTAAATATCTGGTTTATAAATTGATGTTAGCTCATGTAAAAATGCGACTTCCTTACCAATAGGCCTGTGACCTAACGGTATAAGACTCTTAACACCCAAAGGGAGGTCAAGGGTTCGAACATCGGGAAAGGCAGTGTGTGTGAGTCCCAACTAGGAAAAAAAAAATTTGCGACTTCCTTCATACTCGAACACGCTACTTTCTTGAATTTCAAGATTACACCAAGTAATGAGCCTTGTTAAAATGAGATGACCTTGAATCTTGTACAAATTAATCCAAAATAAAATGAGTTGGATTAAGCTAAGAGTCCTTCAACTTGGGCTTCCACTTTCATCCTCAAGCTTGAGCCTCCTACACATAGAGCCCAACTCATACAATCTATAAAAGGAAATGCTAGATTAGAGTATTAGACCAATGTTATCAGGCCATATAAAAATAAGGGTGTGTGCTATTTTGTTCAGCTCTCTACAATTTGGATCTATTAGTTCCAACTTCTAGACCCTAGGATATTTATATCTTGGACAAAAATTATTATCACCAACTATATGTATATTATATACAATATATATTTTGAAGGGTGTGCCTTGTAGCGCGGTGGGGTGTGATTATTAATGTTCGAGTCACCTATCCCCTCCTTCCCCTTTAAAACAAGATTACATGTACTCCACAATCGGAGTGATGAGCTTTGACACCATCGTCGTGATTAAAAATAAAATAAAAAATCATCAACAGAGTTAATCATTGAATAGTTGGATCCTAAGTTCTCATAAATTTTTTGTAAGTTCTAATCAATTCCATAAACAATCTAACCTACTTCTCCCTATCATGAACTGTCTGACCTAATCATTCGCCCACATTTTTTTCTATTGATTGGGCAACACTTTTATTCAAAATGAGGCATCATTGTTTTACTGGGATTGCTAGTATAGGCTTCACACCATGAATGGGTGCCATTATTCTATTAGGGAATTAGTACAAATGTTATTATAGTCTCTTTTTCACTAGTAGGTGGTTTGAAACAGGACATAGCTAGGCTCAGCATTAAATTATGTCAAATAATAATCTTTGAGAGGTCTGAGTTCAAAGACCATGTTTATAAAATATAAAAATTGATTCCCTTTTCTTTCTTTTTCCCAGTCAATTAATAACACCATATATATATATATAAGGAGGAAGGAAAAATAAATAAATTATCTTTATCTACTTTTTTTTTGTTTGGATAGAAAAAAAGAAATAGATGTTATTATTATTTTACTAATATATCCTTAAATATATAAATGAATGCATTAAAATGAGGGCAAATTTGTCTTTTTCTTAATTTATAAAACAAAATTTTATTTTTCTCCCTCCATTTCCTCCCAATTCTGAATGGAAGCAAAATTGTGGACCAAGAAAGATGACACATTCGTCCATTCTTTCCTTCTATCCAACACGATCTCTTTCCTATCAAATAATGAAGACTTGTTCCATCCCTCCTCTATTCACTTGTTCTTTCCTATCAAACGAAAACTAAGTAAAAAATTCACCATTTTTGGCTCGGTTTGATCATAGCATGTTTAAGTATTGGACCCAACAAAGAGACATCTCATGTGGATGCAATATGTATGACATCATTAATAACACGATTAGGTTTAGATAATAACCATTTCCTAATCACAATTTACCTACTCAAACAAGCGAGTGATACACATTTATTAGAGAAAACCTTCACAGCTTAGCTTGCTACCACCAATTCACATCACTTTCAAAGCATGGTGAGTGGGCATTCCATTAAGGAATAATTAAAATAATAATAAAAAAATAAATAAAAACCCAAACATTTTTAATCAATAACCCCTTTGAATAATTGTGATTATATTACAATTTTATCAATTTGTTTCTCTAATTTAAGGGGCTGTTTGGGTGTTGGTGAGAGGGTATTAGGAGTCTTCCTTTTGTCGCCTAACCAAAAACTCACTATTTCACACTTCCAAAAATTGCCAGATGTCAATAAGTGTCATCAAATAACACTTTTCTTACTTACAATCATACTTACAAGCAAAGATGAGAGAAAATTAAATTTTTGTCATCCAAAATATGTTTGTACTTTCAAGCCACTTTTCAACACTTTCAATTAAGAGTCATCACATACCTCATTTTTCTAAGTTTCAATTCAAATTCTTGTTTGAGTTTATGTCTTCCACTAAGTCAGGAAAAAGCATGGTTTAAGGAGGATTTGGTGCTTAAGCAATTATGACCAAAGCAAATATCATCACTACTCTCTTTTTTTTTTTTTTTTTTTTTTTTTGTCTTGTATAATTATTATATTTGCAAAGACTTATCTTTATAAGCTTGACATAAAAAGCTTCTGTAAATGTGAAGATCCATATTTAAGTTTCACTTGTATACATTTTAGAAGCATCAAATGAAACCTACCATGGTTGCTTTGTACCAACATTGAAAGAGAAAACTCAAATGATCAAACGGGTATGAATAAATTATTTGCTTCCTTGTTTAGTTTTATATTTTCTCTTATTAATCCTATGCATATGCACCTAGAACCCCACAATACAAGTAGATTCCTTGGACACTTCACTATCACATGTACTATTCAACTGTATGGTTCTATGCTTCAGGTGTAACTAATCACGTATAAATTATAAAAAAATAAATATAATTTTTCGTTTTCCTTTTTTATTTTATTATGTATATATATATATATATATAAAAGTCGGGATTAAGTGGGTTTTGAAATTGAAAATAAAATTTATATTGTTCGGAACTAACCGAATTTAAATTGAAATTGATTTTTTTATAATTTGAAATCTCGAAGAATACTGTGTCTTCAACCATACTTGCATTTTTCATCAACTTTTAGTGGGGTTTAATGAGATTTATAAATTAATTAAATGACAAATTTTGTAACTTACCCAGTTTGTCTCTCTCTTATAAATATAAATAAATATGAAAGATAATATTAAAAATCTAATCAATAAGGGTAAAACGATAAATAAAAAAGAAAATCCTTTAAATTCCAATCCAAATACAAATCCCATTAAGATTTGGTTCTGAACAAGTCTGAAAAAAAAAAAAAAAAAACAGTTTTTGAAATGTTTTTCAAGAGATAGAGTTGGTGGTGTATCATATAGTTAAGATAATGTGATTAAGATTTATATATATATATATATATTATGAAAAATATAACCGTTACTGTCGAAGTGTAAATAGAGAGAAAGGAGGCTGGTTAGCCGGCTTGGGCGGCTTTGATTTGTTCCTGTCAGTTTTGCTTCATAACAGGGGAAGCCCATCTCTCTCTTTGCGGTCAATTCCTTGGAAGAATGGACTCTTTCTCTTTGTCTTTCTCTTTCTCTCTCACTCATACAAAAAAAACAAAAAAACCAAAGCTAACCCCTTTTAATAGCACCCTTAAACCTGCTTACCTTGTAATACATTGGGGTTGTGTTCTTTGCATTAGTAACCACCAAGAAAGAAGCCAAAAATGTCGGGTTTTGAAGAACAGCTTTCTCTTGCCCATCCTGACCCTCTTGTCTTAGAGCTCAATAGATTGCATAACCAACTCAAAGGTTTATCCACTCTCTTTCTCTCTCTCTCTCTCATACTGTTTGTATGTGTTTGTGTTTATGTTTGTGTTTGTGTTTGTGTGTGTGTGTCAGTGTGTGAGTTTCTGTGTGTTTTCCTAGTGTATAAGAATAGCTCTGAAAATTAAAGGGTTTGTTTAGAATTGGTTTATAGTAATTGGGTTGATTGAAGTTATAACTCTTAATAGTGCTTAAGTTCTGTTACACCATTTGGTTAATTGTTCTGTTCTGAAGCTTTTTGGCCTCTTTTGTTCTGTTTCTTCTGTAATTTAAAGTATAAAAATGTTTTGAATGTTTTAACTTTAGTATGATTATTGAATTGAACTGGTTTGAAGGCAATCTTGGTTATAGTTACTTGTAAAATGCAATTTGTTTGTTATCCTAAGATTTTGAACATACTTGTCTCTATTAAAACATTTTAAAAGGTACCACTTTCTGTAATTGATGATATTGTTGGTAATGGTATATAATGCTGCAATGGTCTTTAGACATTCACTTGTTATTAAAACACTCTGTTTAAAGACTAAACCAGATATGAAGCAAACATAGGAATGATTAATGAGAGCTGATAATGGGACTAAAGCACTTGTGAGTCAGTTGTCAAAGGCTGTCCCAACTTTTGCATAACATGCTGAAGATGGCCCTAATAATGTGGGCCAAACATTATGAGCTGGTAATCTTTTGATGTTGGGTACTGATTAGGCCTTTCCACCTCTAGATATCATTTTAGGGCCAAATTGCACTAAACCCCCCATGAATTATCAAAAAGTTGCAAAATACCTCTTTCTATCATTATTATTTTTGGCTACGAACCCCCTCAATTTATCAAAAGTTACAAATTTTCCCCCTCTACAACTGGAAGTTGAAATTTCTGGGGTTAAAGTGGTCACATGCAAGCAACGCATGTAACCCATGAATTGATTGTTTTGACGAAAATATCTTTAGGCATGCAACAAATACCCTCTTCTCATATCTAAAATCAATTGTAAAGGGTAAAATGGGCAAGAGTATTTTCACCAACATAATCAAACCATGTGTCACATGCACGTAACCACTTTAGCAACAAAATTCTAACTATTGGCTGTCACGGGATAATTTGTAAGTTTTGATAAATTGATGATGTTTGTTGCAACGAAGAAAAAAAAAAAAAAAAAAGAGGAAAAAAAAGAGGAAAAAAAAGGAAAAAAGGGTATTAGAGTGTATTTTGCAACTTTTTAATAGTTGGTATTTGAACCCAAGATATTTTGGATAATTCATGCATCTCTTGGATTTCTGTCACATCCCCTGGAGGAGACACTAGCTTTTAGGTGGTCATGTATATCAAAAAGATGGTATGTCCAAATAATTGACCATAATGATTCAAATGATCTAATTCATTTAATTTTGTTGCCTGTTTTATTGGTGGCATGTACCCTAGTTCAATTAATAGACCGCAGTTCTATCACTCTCTCTAATTAAAGATTAGCTAGCTATATTAGAAAGTTGGTCATCTGGTTCTATATTGGAGAATGAAGTACTAAAATAGCGGCCTTCTGCCTATAGTTTTAGCTTGCATCCTTTAAAATAGTTCTGGAACTCAGAAAGTTGTTTTTGTAGAACTATAAAAGAGAGTTTTATGAAAACAAGTCTTTTTTCAACTGTGTTTTCATAAAACAGTCCTAAAAAACTCTAAACCAATTAGATTTTTGTATAGTTTTATGGTTTTCAATTCTCAAAAAACTAAACCAAATATGCCCTAAGTTTGAAGGTTTTCCATTTTCACTTTCTAACCGATGAAAAGGACAGTAAAGAGCAGATGCACAGTCTGGTTCTACAAAGAACTGCTATGTTCCATAAAGCCTGTTGGAGATGGAAATATTTTAATCTAGAAGTGTAGTATGAACTGATGATTTTCTCACATCATATGGAGCTAGAAGTGACTGTTGGCTTTTGCTGCTTGAGATTCAAGTGCAAATACATCTAAAGAGATAAAGCAAAACTTTAAAAGTGCATATTAGTTTTAGGCTTGTGCAGACAATGATATAACACATCTAATAAAAAGAAATTTTTTTAATTAGTTTTTTAGTGGAATAATTACACTTGATTACTTGATTACCAAGCAGACAATGGAAGACAAGTTATCAATGAACATTCTAGTTTTTTGTGATCTCTCTTATTAGTCACATATTCTAACAAGTTTAATGTTACATGATACTCATTTTAATTTATTCCAGAAAAGGATAGGGAGTTGGGACATGCTCATAACGAAATCAAAGCATTGAGAGCAACTGAATTCCTGAAGGATAAGGCTGTGGAAGAGGTACTAAAATAAATTTATGCATCATCATAAGAATTTCATCACATATTCATTCATGAACATGCATATCAAGAGATGATTGATACATGGAAAATTCTGATTATTGTGTCATACACTTTTGGCTCTGCATTAAGTTTAGAATTGTAGGGAAATTTAATGCTAGGTTAAGTGTAATTTTCTTAATACTTTTTTTGTTTCAATGGAGTGATATCTTCACAATATGCAGTACATATTTTTTGACAGAAGTTAAAAAAAGAAACTATAAACACATTTTATTTGGCCATACCGAAAGCATAAACACCTATGTCTACTGTGTTTATACAGTTGTGTATGCCTCCATCATACTCTATTTATAAGTTATATATATGTGTTTTGTCAGCTTACAAATGAACTTAATAAATTGGATGAGAAGCTGAGTCTCTCTGAAGATCTTATAGAGCAAAAGGTGTGGTCAAATTTTATGTTTCCTGTTTTTCAGTTTCCTGTAGCATCATATAACTGTAAAGTAACCTTTTAAGAGACTCGTTTTGTGTAAATCTGAACAATGCAGAAACTTGAAAACAAGAGACTAACTGATGAGAAGAAAGATGCATTTGCTGCACAATATGCTGCAGAAGCAACTCTTAGAAGGGTGTATGCAGAGCAGAAGGATGATGATCCTGTTCCTATTGAGTCCGTAATTGCTCCTCTTGAGGCTGAAATCAAAATGTACAAGAACGAGGTATATAGACGAAAATTAGAACAATTTATTTAAAAATTCAATGCAGCATGAAACATTAATTTCAATTGCTGCAACACTGTAACACTAGATACTCACACACATGCCTCCTTTGGTTTTTTCAGATTGCAGCACTACAGGAAGATAAGAAAGCTTCTGAATGGCTCACAAAGTCGAAAGAAGCAGCTTTGCTTGAAGCAGAGAGGATTCTGAGAAGTGCTCTTGAAAGGGCTTTGATAGTAGAGGAGGTTCAGAATCAAAACTTTGAGCTGAGGAGACAGATTGAGATTTGCCAGGTACGATTTCCACCTGAACTTTGTATGATTGATGTATGTACTGAATTTGATTTAATTAATCCATTTCAAAATCCCAAATGCAGGAGGAGAACAGAATTCTTGAAAAAACCAATCGTCAAAAGGTTTTAGAGGTTGAAAAGTTGAGCCAAACCATTAAGGAACTTGAGGAGGCCATTTTGGCTGGTGGGGCAGCTGCAAATGCAATTCGTGACTACCAGCGACAGATTTCTGAACTAAATGTGAGACTGATGCTAAATCTAGTAATTGCTAGCATGCCTTAAAAAAATTAAAACCAACCTAGTGTTTTAGGGTTGCTATTACTGACATATTGGATGGGGCTCTACATTTATCTAGTAATTGACCTTGGTTTTGCAACATTTTTGTAGGAGGAGAAGAGGACTCTGGAGAGAGAACTAGCAAGGGTTAAAGTTTCTGCTAATCGAGTTGCCACTGTCGTGGCTAATGAATGGAAGGATGAGAATGACAAAGTTATGCCTGTCAAACAATGGCTGGAAGAGAGAAGGCTGTTGCAGGTATGTGTTCCAGCAGAAAATCCAATTTCACAATTCTCGGAAATCCAATTTCTCAATTCTCAATCCAAAAATATGCAATTAAAACAACTAAATTAAATTTCCAATCTTAAAGATTACAGATGTAGATATGAAATCTTAAAAAGTATAAACATGCATAGCCAACATTATTAACAATTTAGAAAGATTTAAGATGGATCAATAACCTTTTGTATTTCATTCTTATGAATTTTATCCTTGCATATTTAGGCAGAGATGCAACGTCTTAGAGACAAACTAGCTATATCAGAAAGAACAGCTAAGGCAGAAGCACAACTCAAGGTGAACATTTCTTGTCTTGAGTTCAGAATATATGCACTGTTTCTGGCTTTCTGCCCTTTTGAAGCAGCAGACTGCGTTTACTAATGTAAATTTTACCCAGGAAAAACTGAAGTTGCGGCTAAAGACCTTAGAAGAAGGCTTAAAGCATGTGTCAAGCTTATCTGTCAATCCTAATGCATTTTGTGCATCACCAAAACCTGAAAAATCCAACATCTTCTTTGGGATCCTATCAAATAAAAGCGGACTAAAGAAGAGGTCTACATCACAGCCAAGGGCTTCCATGATGAGTAACAAATCTCCTCTGCAGCAACCCAATGTAGAAAATGAAACAAAAGATGCTGGTAGAGAACTGAAACGAGTAAATAGCTTGAATAAGAAAAATGCTTCCAAAGAAAATCTGCTGAGAAAAAGTTTATGGGCATCTAGAAGTAAAGTGGTTGACAGTGATGAGAAAGAGAATACAGAAATGAAAGGGAACACTATCGTGAATCTTGATAGGTTTCATGACAATGAAACCAAAGGTGGCAGCATTGAAGGGTCACAAAATCTAGGAAGTGGAAATCCTGATAGAGATGATATAGTGTCAGGGTTTCTGTATGATAGGCTTCAGAAAGAGGTCCTCAGTTTGAGAAAGTATTGTGAGGTGAAAGACAACAGTTTGAAAACCAAAGATGAAGAAATCAAGGTCACGATCACAAAATACCTCTCTCTCTCTCTCTCACACACACACACACACACACACAAATAAACAAAATACTAAATAAATGTTAAATTTATTTCCAGATGCTCATGAAGAAGGTCGACACACTGACAAAAGCAATAGAAGTAGAGACTAAGAAAATGAAAAGAGAAGCAGCGATGCGGGAAAAAGATTCATTGTCAACTAAGGTAGACAACAACAAAAAGAGTGAAAAAACAAACTCCTCAAAAAGGTAGATAAATTGGCCATCTTTCAGACAGCTTAAATCCTTTTTTTTCTATGTTGATTTCTATCTCTACTTTCCCTATTTCATTATGCTTTGATGATGTGGATTTGATTTTCTTTTGGGGCTGCACTTCCAATGCCATTTGTTAACCTTCAGATATATTTGCGATTGTATTAGGCTCACAAAAGCATCTTGAGGATACTATCGGTCATGAAAAGCTGAAGGTGATCTGGAAATCAGTTGGTTCATCAACCATGTTCAGTGATTCTTTGGATGTATATATGTGAATAAAATTTGATTTGAGTGATGAGCTAAGTCAAAATATTGTTGTGGTATGTTATGAAAATGGAAATGAGCTTGTAAGTTGTAACATCTTGAGGGTGTGTTCATTACAGTCATGTTACGAAGATTTCACATGGATGATATTCAATACAATGTTTAATTGCTTATGTTTTTGAATTACCATATGGTCATCTGCTTCTCAAATGGAAGAATTTAGGTGGTGTGGGAAATGGAAACGAATTTGTAAAAGAACTGGAACAGGAACAACTGAGAAAAGTACGAAGAAAATCTTGAGGGATTTCATATAAACATTGTGAAAAGCACTGGAACCAAAGTCAGGAATACTACATTTGAACCAAATTTCCTTCAATTCCAACGCGCAACATGACTTATTCTACTTTTTTCCATATCCTGATGTGGATGCTATACCTATTTTCTGAAATACAAACCTCACAACTGGTTTCATTCAGTAAACTAGAAGTAACAGAGACTCCAACAATTCTACTATTCTGGAATGGTAGCTAAAAGTGGCCGCCATTTCTCACACTCTTCTTTCAACCAAGAAGACTGAGCTATCTTTTGTTTAAATTGAAACTTCTTTCCACTTCTCAACATCAACTCCAACTGCTGCCTTGTCAACACAATTTTTACTTTCCAGCGTCTGCGACTACTTTCGTCAACCACTTTCTGGTAAAGTGGAGGGCTAAAATGTTGTCGCAACTCAGGCACAAGATAGTAAACCTCCCCGACTTCTAGCTTGGCATCCGGTGGCAATGGTAGGTAAGGCTGGGCATGGTGTACAAGCTTATAGCCATGGTAAAGGCCAGAGGTGATCTTTTTAACCGTTGTCGAGGCCTTGAACACTGCTTCTCCTCCACCAAGAATTAAAACTCTAATCTTCTTCTGTGGCTGTGACAACATTAGATCTATGCAATTGCCCATCTTTTCTTGACCTTAGGACTAAGGACTGTTACATATATATACAAGTTTTGTACATATTGACATCACAAAGTAGACAGTTTAACGTGCAAACCACCTTACCATTTTCTATTAGTTCCTAATTCCTAAAGAAAAGGAATTAAAAAGTTTCTATATGTGAACAAGCAATATTAATCTATTTGACTTTGCTTAGTAATTTTTTTAACACACTATGCTTGGTATTCAGTCATATATATACATAAATTTTTATTTTGAGCTTATTGTAGACGGCTATTCTTGCTATTATATATTAGCGGTGGTCTTCAGAATATAATTTTCCAACTCAATAAAGAAGTGAGTCTTGAAAGAAAATTCACTCCAGAGGTTGACTATTACATTTTCAAAGGAGTATTCTATTCATCTCTACAAAGTCAAAACAGTTGTTCATCATTCATTGCACATTGCACCCAAATAGCACGTGACATGCCAAAGTCAACTTCCATATGGGATTGGGATCATCAGAAGTCGGCAAACATGGTAGTTTGGCACCCAAAACCTCAAAGAACTAAGAACCAAACAGAACCCTTTCCCCAATATACTCCCTGAGGCCACCAACCACCATTCAAGACCATAAAAGCTTACCAAACCATTGGCCACTCATGCCATTTCTAGGCAACGGCCATTTGATTTAAGAGTCATGATATGGACTGTGACAGAGTCAGACAACTCAGACTATTTTGTGAATGTCGACTCTAAATGATTTTCCTTGATTTAAATCAGCAGCCTATCTAGAATTTCTTTGTCTTACATTGGCTTTCTTCATGTCAATCATCCACAAAATGTCTACAAAAGAACACAATTTGTTGCTTAAGAAAGAATGCCAAAAGCTCAATTCGATTCCTCTAGAATCCAAGGCAATCATCATAAAAGGAGCAGCTAGGTTTGCTAAGAGGTGAGATTGGTAACTTTCAATTTTATGCAAGATAAGAATTAATTTAGGGGTTGAAACCATTACCCCAGTCTAATGTAATATAAGTACATGCTACAAGTAAATGTTCTATTTATACAAGTCCATGTATAATGTAAGAGTCGTGTACGCATATTTATACAAGTCTCCTTTCTCATCCAACATAATTCTTCCATTGGAGCATCTTCTGCAGGGAGAGCCAAAGAGAACCTGCAGTTGACTACTCCACAACCATCCGCTTCGTCAATTGCTCCTAGGGATGTCAATTGACCACCCTGCCCACCCGGTTTGACTCTATTAGGATGGGTTTGGGTATATTATGATTCCTGTAGGGCAGCATTTGAAGGGAGAGCGCATCACAAAGCTGCTCTGGTTACTTATAAATTAATATTACAACCACTGATCTAGAATGCAGATTTTCTAACATTACTAGTAATTATTTTTTTAAAAGTAAATATCAAATTAATTTCAATCTAAAATTCAAAAATCACTTTTTACTAAACTGAGCTTTTGTTGTGCCTTAATCCTTCAGCTTCCTCAAGATGTTTACTAAAAATTGTTCACCGACACAATTAATGGGAAGATAATTTTAAATTTGTAACCTGTCTAAACCTCTTGAGACTGCCAAGGAGAACATTTTTGACCATGTCCCTTCCATCCTCGGAAATAGCTTCCATCTATGGGGTAGTACGACTGATGAAAGATTCTCCACTAAATCTGCTAATAAACTCCTTACAGAGCAAGACACTAGCAGGCATTCCTATGACTGGAATTGGATCCGGGGACTACAGATTCTGCAAAAGCTAAAGACCTTATGGATTGCTCACCGTGATAGAGCAGTTACCGACCAATTGCAGGGTTATGTCCAGTTGTAGCATCTGCCAGTTGTTGCGACTCTATTGATACCAATATTCATACCTGCTCAGGAGCCCTGAAGGATATCCTTCAAAGAGGTACAGATTGCTTGACATAATTCTCAACGATTCAACAATCTTTGTTGCCTCCCTAGCAGATTTGAAAAACCAGGGACACCCAACTCTCTCATTTTTAAATCTCCCACCTGCAGGATTTTTGAAGCTCAACACTCAGAGATGTGGTAGAGGTAATCCTGGACTGGCACGATTTGGTGGAATTCTTACAGACAAAAGCAAGTTCTGGATGCGAGGCTTCATTGGGAATATTGGCTATTGCTCTAGATTTGGAGATAGAGAAGGGCTACAGTGGTTAAAGAGAGAGAAAATCAGAGTAGTTATCTTGGAACCCTCTTTGTGGGAAAATGACTAATATGTTGAAGGAAAGAGGTGCGAAGATGAGATCCAGGGTCTGTTAGAGGAAGTAGACTCCTTGTGTCTAACTATTCTATTTACAAGCTATAGCACAAACTTGCATCATGGTTAAGAGGGAAGAAGCCCAGACAATTAGATTTGTGGAGATTGATCTTCCATGGAGCTGACTGCAGGCCCTCTTGCTGATACAGTGGCTGTCTCTTTTGAGAGGACTCCTCTTTTGAAGGTGGTTGTGTTCCTTACCATTAACCAAAAATAAGAAAGAAGAAACTCACCTCCAAGGAAGAAACATAGTGTTGCACAATTGCCTATTAACTTCTACATAATGTATTATAACTAATTCACTAGCAGATATATGGAAGTAATATTCCTGAAACTGATTAGTTTAGCAAGCTTTTTAACGATTTATTTTTTCTCAAGAATGAAATCAAATGCCACCATAGTGCAAAGCAATTACTTTTAAGCTTGGAACCCACTATTAGGCATTGCAAAACTTGGATGATGATAATAAAATCATCTAGTAAATGCTCTCTCATATTGCATTATAGGCACCAAAAAGCAGTGGTGGATGGCAAAGTTTGGCACCCCTAACTGCAGGTAGATAAACCACTCAATCACTGCCACTTAGCTGTCCCTAGGTACCTTACTGCGTTTAACTCTCAAAATTGTAGCATCCCTCTTCCGCATCCCGACAACTATTGCCCAGTTCAATTGTGGCCGATTAATGATACTTTTGCAGGGTCCCAATGCAACCACAGTAGAAATTAGAAATTGACTCAATAATTCAACTTCGGGAACTAGAATCTTAGAAAACAAATCAGCCAATATATAAATAGCCTTTTCTTTTTCATGTATTAATAGAAAATTTTCTCTACCACAATAGCTATATAAGGCCAAAAACATGGGAAAGAAAAATTTGAAAACAGCTTATACCATTTTTATCATGCATCAACATCAGAAGCCAATCCTAGAATATTAAACCCTCATAAGCACATAATCTAAGCAGCAACTAGTCTGGACTCCAACCATGACTTGGCTGCAACCTTGGTCGTCAAAAACCAGCCAACCTTGTCAGGAGCCTCATGGAAAGGGGCATTTAGATCCTTGAGATGCGACTCAAATACACCTGCCAAACCTTTGTCCGAATATTTGTGTTTCCCATGCCCGGTATTGATCCCAAGGAGTGATGGAAGCTCTTCCCCATTCTTCAGTGCATTGGACAAGTCATTCATCCAGACATGTAATGCAGTCAAAGCTGCCCCAAGGGAAAGACTCTTCAGATGTAGAGACCACTGGGTTGGAGATTTGGACTGTATATCTGTATATATTTCAAGTGTAAGCCCAAGGTCTAATAACTCGCAAGCTCTCTCCAACTGATTGAGGTTGACACAGAGATCGATTAAGCAATTGCAGTACGCTTTTGTTACATCAGCACTTATAGAATCAAAGAGTTCAGCAGCTTCCCTCTTAAAGGCATCTCCAATGTTTTCCCCCACCACCAGGAGTTTCACCAGAAAGCCAAGTTTTGAATTAGCCTTCTCAATGCAATCAGCGAGCTTACTGAGTTCTTCTGTCGGTGTTTGTGTCATCACATTAAGAAGACAACCACAGAATCGCTCATCAGGAGTTATCCCCAACTCCAGCAGCCGATTAAATGTCCTCACAACATCATCAGTTTGGTTGGTTTTCCCATAGCACTGAATGAGTGAGGTCAGGACAAAAATATTAGGCTCAAAACCTGCTTCTGACATCTCATTCAGTGTGGCCTCTGCTTCTGAGACTCTTCCACTACAGGAATATATGGTAATCATGGAAGAAAATGTCCAACTGTCAGGTTTGCAAGTCTCCGTACTCTTCATATCCTCAAAAATCTGGACAGCTTCTTCAGCATAGCCCACATCAGCACACATAGCTAAAAGTGTATTGTAAAGAACAACGTTCAACTCCATCCCCTTCTCCTTCATTTCTTTATACACATTGAGAGCATCTTCACCATAGCGAGCTCTACCATAAGCCCTTAAGAGTGCGGCATAAGTTGCATGATTCGGGAAAAACCCATTGTCTATCATCTCCTTGTAGATGGTCTTAGCTTGCCAAGGCCTCTTGGCTCTTCCCATGGAATCCAACAAAGCGTTGTATAAAACCACGTTTGGCTTCACTTTAAGAGCTTTCATCTCTTCATACACGTTCAAGGATCCATCAAAATTCCCAGACATCCCATAAATTTTAATCAGTGTTGAAAATGTCACAGCATCAATGCGCCATTTCTCTGTTCTCGCACGATCATACAGGCTCAATGCCATATTGACATTACCAGCACGGCCATAGGCATCAATCATCACGGAGTAAGTAACATCATCAGGTTCACATCCAAATTGGGGCATTTTCTCAAACCACTCCACAGCCCTTTCTGGCAATGAACACCTCCTTGCACAGCTAATTATTGTAGAAAACGTCACATTATCAGGCTTAATCCCTCTCTCAAGCATTTCATCAAAAAGCTTCTCTGCTTTATCCAAATCCTTATTCTTCCTAAACACCTTAATTGTCACATTATAAAGAATCACCTCTTTATTCAACTTCAACCTCTGCCGGAAGTACTCAAGCACAATCGGTGCTGTATCGGGGTTCGACATGTTATTAAGAACAACTACAGCGTCTTGCTCTATAATCTTATCACCCAAATCAACCAATACATTAAAAACATCTTCTTGAGTTGGGTTACATGAATCCAAAGACTCAGAAACTTTGATGAGAGAAGCATACCTGGAATCATAGGATCGCCGGCGAAGTTGTGAAGCTCTGGGACTTCTGGGGTTGACCCAGGCGTAGCTTTTCGATGAAAATCCGATTTTTTCATCTGGGGATTGAGAATTCGGTGGTTTTGAGGGATTAAGGTCATGGGTTTGTTGTGAATTTGGGTTTTGGAGATTGACTTGGGTGATACGTAGAGAACGTCTTGAAAGAGAAGAGAGGAGTGAGAGAGTTGCAGAAGACTTGGTGGTCATGAGAGTGTAGCTTAAACTTGTGGGTCGCGAAACTGGTTGGAGAGGAGTGAGAGAGTTGCAGAAGACTTGGTGGTCATGAGAGAAAGATGGAGAAGAGAGTTGCAGACAGTGAGCCATTTCTTGCTACCCCTGTTGGCTCGCTCGCTCGCTCGCTCTGCGTGTTTGGCCTTTGCTGGCTCTGGAGTTCTTATCAGGCGAAAATATTTCTAAAACTGCGGTTTTACCTTATTAGCCTTATCTACAAAATACAGCTTCCAACATCTGCAAAAAAAAAAATTTATTTAAAAAATTAAATGAAAAAAAAAAATTAAAGTTAGCTTAAACCAGCTTAATTTTTTTAGTTTTTAAAATTAGTTTCTAACAAATCGTTACCTAGCCAAACTTGATTTGGCAGAGCCAAAAACACTGCTTTTTAGACAGGGCGAGTCTTGACTTGATTTATTTATAGTTCATTTAATTAAAGAGAGTGATTCTGGTTATGAACTTAAGTTCTTTTTCGTTCATCAATATTCACTTGAGAGGATTTTTTCTCTGGGTTGAAAAAGGAGTAGCACAAATAATAATAGCATAGCTAATAAAATTGGAGTAGTTCGGTTTTGCAGAATGAACTTACTGTAATATAGTTAATAATGATTAAGTTAGCTAAATTAATTCTTAAACCCCGTTTGGGATCCTACATTTAAGGGTGTTTTTATTTTAAAATTTTACTTATAAATATATTTCCTAACCGGTGAAAGCACTTTTAAATGGCAAAGATGGCAAAGATTTTAGCTACTAAAGCTTCTGAATAAAGTTAAAAATTTTAATTTTTAAAAATTCGTCCAAGTAAAGTTAATTATTTTATGTAACTGTGTTAATCTTTAAACAATTCTAATCTTTTTTTTTTTTAATTTTTTTTGATAAAGTTATTTTTTTTCCCCTTCTTTTATAAAGAGTTATTTTGTAAAATGCATCACCAATTTACCAAGTACTCTTTCATCGACATCAATTTTGCGACAAAAATATTTTAAAATTGAATTTATAGTTTCTAAACTAGTAACATCACAACAATATATTTACCAAAAAAAACATGAATATTATTTTATTGGCAAGTTTATGTGAACGAGGGTCAAGATTATAAGAAAGCCAAAAAAACATGAATATAATATTATTGGCAAGTTTATGTGAACGAGGGTTAAGATTATAAGAAAGTCGTAGTTTTAAATTGTTTTATTGTAGTTTTATATAAAGTTTGTTATCTTTTCCCACAAATTCTGAGCGCAGAAAAGATTTGTTTTGAATGCAGAAACAATTTATTGATCTACAAGACCGAACTAGACTGTTTGGTTTGGTTTGATTTAGGTTACATTGACAATTTCAACAGGTTTATGTACACATGTAGGTTAAAACAAAGAATACACATCTATCACAGAAACATAATAACGGCTTTTCTTAACCAGTGACAATTTCATACAAAAATGTTGAATCCATTAAGGGTTCTACCATCCAAAACTTTCCAAATCCAGTCATAGAAGCTTAGAACCTTCAATTATAATATTTATAAGCCCTTTAGATGATAATAACAAGGGCAGAATAAGTAAATAATCACTCTCAGATTTTTTTATTTATTTACTTTTTTTAACTAAAGAACCACTAATTCAACGGTTGCCGGTAATATTGTTTCTAGCTGCCTGGCACGCTTTCTAGTGTCTTCCATCTTCTTGGCTTCCATTTCCGGAAGATAATTATAATCTAACAAAGGGCGGGGATCAATAATTATCTTCTCCAGTGATGCCGCAACCTCAAGCAAGTGCAAAATGAGATCAACTTCGCTGCAGCTACTACCATCAAACCCAACCAATTCCACCACCTTAAGACATTGATGATGACATTTAGTTGCCTCTTTTTCAGCCTCTATATTTGCAATTTGATCATGATCATCCCTTATTGCCTGCCAGCACCACAAGAGAAGGCATTATTTGCAGACAAGGTTAAGAATATAACAAACTCTTAAGACCAGTACAGATTTGTAATTTTCAGTACCTGTCTATTCCCTAGCAGAATCAGCTGTCATAGAGGAAGATAGTCAGATAAAAATTATTTACACAAAAAGATTAAATAAAATTAAAAAGAACATACTTACCCAAACTTGTTTCCAACATGCATTTGGTTAATATGAATTTTTTCCAAAAAAGTTGTAAGAAAATATTATTTTGTTAATTTGGATAGCATCAAAGTGAAAAGAAAATGATCATACTTACCAAAACAAACTACCCTTATGATTTCAACTACTAGAAAAATAAATGAATTTGTATTAAAATGAGTTTAAAGTATGATTATTTGTGGATCTACACACGCATGCTTCATGTTGATGCTTAATGAAGAACTTGGAATCCCTGTAGATGAAATTATTTTTGTTGTTAGTGTTATTCCTTGGAGAGACATTGTTTTGCTATATATCGGTTATCACATGCTATGTAAAACTGTGTAAAGCATACTCTAAGAATGACAAGTGCTGGACTTTTCTTGTTTTGTAAACCCTACATGCCCGGTATTTGTATACTAAACACCCATGTCTTTTATATTATGGAGAACATGTAGTATTGCAATAACCTGTGTAGTGTTTGACAAGCTTTTTAAAAAAATATTTGGAACATGTTATCTTTCATTTTCACTGCTTGAATATGATGAGAGTCAACTTGTAGGAAATTAAATTAAACATGTTCATGCCTGAAAGATTGTTACTTGGGGTGCCCAAATGAGGTTTGGTTTAGTTTCATGAATCATTAGAGGTGGTGTTGCTAAAATTCTTTAAACCCTATATCTTACACCTCGGGCTTGGTGTTAAAGATCTGGGGCACAATTTAAAGTCATACACATAATTAAAAAATTAAAAAATAAATCAATAATAATACGTCCATTGAAAAGCATACCTTAAATTACAAAGAAAGGATACTTACCTGAAGAGTAAACTTAGACAAATTAGGAGACGCGTTAATCACAGAAGTTAAACTAAGAAGGCTACCACCAATTTCTCCCACAACAAACAATTCCACTTGCTTGAGATTACTTAGCTCACGGAAATGTCTGGGAAACCGACGAAAGTCCTAACCAAAAGCAAGCAATAGTTGATAATGATGTTTAAAAAAAAAACAAAGAACGGACGGACGAAAGAAAAGCATACAATCACGCAATGATCGTGTATTCTAACCTCAGGAAACACTCTTAACTTGAGCTTTTGTATTTGAGGAGTATAGCTGGAATGTTCGGAAGATCCAGAAACAAAGGATGAGCAGAACTCTCCCCCAATAGATAGCTCAGAGAGAAGAGGGGGGACGTTTTTAAAAGGCACACTTCTATCTCGTCCAATGTAGGTGAATGAAACAAGATTTATTGCAGAAATTTCCAGATTTTCCAAGAAGTGGCAGAAAGATATCTCTAAGCACTTCAATTTGAGTGATGGGCCAGCAATTTTTAGATTCACTAGACATGTTGAACCCACAATGGATAATTCTTCAAGAAACACACAGATGGATAGGAAATTCTCAAGCACCTCCTCCATGATATTAACACCAACCAACCGAAGCGCGGTTAGGGAACAAAAGCCAGCTGCAGAACCAATAGTCCGTGACACATGAAGACTGTTTGGAGTCATAAACCAGAATTTGAAGTTTTCCATGATTGGAAAATTGTAATATTGATTCCATGAACTGAGATGCATGCCAGCCATCACATCCAATTCAAACCTTTGAACACCCTTTTCCATTGCAAACTTAATCCAATCTTCGATATCACGAGGGAATTGCCCACGGAAACAAAAATAAATCCTCATTTCATCTATAAAGGTGCCAAGATGCAATTTCAAGACTTCGTTCACCCAATTTACAAACTTAGTAGACCCTTCATGTGCACGACCATCTACTGTAGGAGATCCTGACTTTGAATAGAAGGTGAAACTACCAGTTACATATCTCCATAAATATCTCCATCTGCGCGACAGAACACTAGTACATGCAGTTTCCTTAAGCGCCAAAAGAGACAGAATGTCAATGAGGATGTCGTCTGGCAATCCACTAATTCCATTATTCATGTGATCATTTCTCTGAACATCCAAATAATTTTAAACACAAGAAAAAGAAACCATCATCAACAAAAAATAATTGAAGCCACTACTTTACTAAAAAAAAAAATTTAAGGGCCACCATACAAACATCACGATTAGGAAAAAACAATTTTATAATTTTAAAAATAAATAAATAAGTACTAGTTTGTCAAAAATTTAAAAGAACCACCACATTAGCAATAACCAATAGAAAATCATAAGAGTTTCGGGTTGTCCATGTAAGCAATAAGGTTTCTTTTGATACGTAAGACAAACGCCCATTGTTAGGACTCAAACATCAATATCCCATATGCGGGGAGGAGTTAATAGCGGTGGAGTTAAGAACTTGATAGTTATGAATGAAAATTGAACTAAAACAAAAGCAATAACTTTTTCAACTGACAGTTAATTTCTGAGGCCGTTGGAAAGAGAACTCACCTTCTGTTGCTTGAAAGAAGATGTACGCCGTGCTATCTTCCACAGTTTTATGGAACTGGCAGGATTCTATAATTCCAACAGAACAAACCAACCAATTAGCACCCTCAATGTTTATTTTTTATCACCCTCGATGTTTCAAACAAACCACATCCCCATCGCAAAACCCTGCAACCGATTAGCCCCACACTCCCTGAAACCCTAACATTCGAAACCCTCTGTCCTGAGTCTCAAAGTCACACAAAAAATATTTAAATAATAACAGAGAGAAGGAGAAGAACAGGAGAGACGCGAATAGAAGAGAAGAGGTACCTGCAATCTTTCCGGAACCTCTCGCCGGTCGTTGCTTTTTCTTATCCGTCAGTAACAGTAAAAGTGCTTTTGTCTGTCATTAAATTAAATTAAAACTATGTTAGGCGCTTAATGCAAAGAATTTAGGATAAAGTATAGCCACACCTCCTGAAATTTGGCAAAAGGACACTCAAATGAAATTTACCTATTTTTTGAATAAAGACACCTTAAAGATTCAAAAATGGACAAAGACACCCTTTTACATGAGAAATTGACCAAATTACCCTTTGACCGTTTAGGAGACCTTTTTAACTTTACAATTTAATAAATTGGACCGATCTACCCTCATAATTAATTTATGCATAAAAAA